GGGAGACTGTTGGATTAGGTTTCTAAGCCCATAACTATTATTAGTATGTACTTGACCCGAGAGTAGCATGATCCATTTGGGTTGCATGGCACTGGAACAATCTGAAGGATGGATTATTGAGAAGTGGTTATTTACAATTTATTAATATATTATAAGTTCTAATATATTAATATGAAATCATATTATTTAATTAGTATTTATCAAGAATTAGTTTGAAATTAATTTTGTGATCAAAAGAGACTAAATAAATATACAGGGATTGATCATGTAAATCATTCATTCTTATAATGTGGGCTTAGTTCCTTATGTTGGGCTAAACCCATGTGGTGACCCATGGATGATCCATGGAGGTTTAAACCCATGGAGCATGAGGAATATGGAAAGTCATTCAAATTGGTGAGCCTGTAATCATTGAGGTTAATGGGGTCTTTCACTTTTGGGGCCAACGAGATATAAGAAAAATTGCAGCCTCGGGCGACTGTGCCTGTATCTTCAAAGTGTCTCACGGATTTCATTATGTCTGAAGATAATGTCAACCAGTAATGATTGATAAACTTAAAAGTGAAGCCATCCAGGCCCGGTGCCTTGTCACCACTGCACGCCCAAACGACCGTTTTAACTTCATCAATTGTTATAGGCGCCTCCAGTCTGATGGCGTCCATTATTGATATGGATTTGAATAGAGGGTTTATCAATTTAGGTCTTGACACCCATGTTTCCTTAAACTTTTTTTGGAAGAATCGGTATGCCTCAAATTTTATATCCATCACCTCTGTTACCCATCTACCATTTACCATAAGGCATGAAATCAAATTCTTTTGTTTGTTTGAGATTATGTATCCATGGAAGAACTTGGTATTCTCATCCCCATCAATCATCCACTTTAGTCGTGCTTCTTGTTTGAGGTTCATCACAACTATCTTCTCAAGCTCCAGTATTCTGTTGATCCCCCTACTTATGGTTTGTAGTTCCATCACAGTAAGAGAGCGATAATTAGCCTCGTTTTTCTAGATGAACAATGGATTCCTTAAGATTCATGAGTTCATGAGTTTTTTTTTTCAACATTTCTCCACTTCCTTATTTCTTCTTTGAGGTGCCTTAGTTTCGCCGCAAGGTATGAGTCTGCATTTCCATAGCCATTGAATTCACTCCAAGTTTTAAGTACTAGCTGATCCAGCCCATCTAACAGTAACCAGTAGAACTTGAGGGGGGGGGGGGGGGTTCCAAAGTTTTTGAAAGTTGAGGAGAGAGTGATTGGACAATGATCGGATAGGTGTCTAGGGTGAGTAGTGGCAGTGAGAGATGGGAAAAAAAGTAAGAAAATTCGAGCAAGCCAAAAATCTGTCAAGCTTGCTTAGTTTTGCATCTACCCTGCTCATGTATGTAAACCGCTCCCCTCCTATATTAAAATTGTGAAGCCCTAATTCATGGATAAAGTAATTAAACGCAGCCACACTAGCAGGGCAGAACTGGGAATTGAATCTTTCAGCTCTTCGTCTCACTACATTGAAGTCCCCGAAGAGTAGCCAAATCCCCGAATGGGCTAGTTTGATTTGAGTTAACTCATCCCACATGACTTTCTTATCAGTTGGCGATTACGGACCGTAATGATGATGTAAATGTTTCTTTTTATATGATTATTAGTATAATTGTTATTTGTATGTGAATTCTGATTAGAGCTTGTAATTATTGAAATGATTTATATGTATAATTATGCTATTAGATAACCAAATTTGAAAAAAGAGGCAATAACTGTTTTTTCATTAAATTCTTAGTTATGTTTGATAAGTCTATCGTTCAAACTTTAAATGTTGTCTTTTTTGAAAATTTCAAGTCTAACTTTACGGCATATCCTAATTTGTTTTTCCAAATGCGCATCAGAGAATTTCAAACAAAACCAATACTATTTCAAAATGATTTTACATCTACATCTTCCATAATATTTTCAAGAAATATTTTATTCACAGACCGTATATAAGAACGGAATTCAAAGTGAACAATTTTTCTGAATTGTTTGTGCTCTAAACTTTTTATGATGAACAATATTACAATGAGGAAACCGTGAGTTTGTGATTTAACATTGGAAAAGACTCAGAGAGTATATGTAAACAAAAACAATATGGTTAAAACAAAATAATGACCACTTTCCTATAAAAAAAAGATTCATCTTTTTTTGTATATGTGTATAACCATGTGTGACAATATTGATTTATATAACTTATATGATTTGAAGGTTCATAAAATATTATTGCTCTAAACCATAGTGACTAATAATATAATTGATTCAAGTAGCGATTTATAAATACCAACTAATGCTTAAGAAAATTCATTTGACTCATAATGTGTATATAACTGTGAATATTTCTTAATAAATAACAATAATAAGGAATGAACCTACAGTTTGGTATACACATAAAAGATTCAATCAATATAAAATCCAAAAATTAATGATATATAGATAAACTACATAGACATGAATGATTAGAAAAATTGAATAATTAAGTGTAAATATAAATGAATAGTTTACGATTTGAAGAATTTACTAGACATGTTTACTGTTTACTCAGAAGGATAATCCACAAAATAATTGCTAGAAATCTTTGGGTGAAAACTAAAGGTTATGGAACCAAACAAATTATTGTAAAACAGGTACATTTAGGTAGTAATGCACAAATCGGTTCAATTTTCAAACCGAACCGGTTCTTTAAACCGGTTTGGTTCACTTTCTAGCCAAGTAAAACCGGTTCGATTCAAACCGGTTCACTCAAAAAATTAGTAGAATCTATTTAAACCGGTGAAACCGGTTCGGTCGGTTCTATACCGGTTCCACACCGGTTCACACGAGACTAAACCGGTTCTAAACCGGTTTCAATGACTAATATCTCGAACGGGTGTAAACCGGTGGTTTGGTTCGCGGATCTGTCGTGTTCATCGTGGACCGGTTCATGGTGAACCAGTTTACCCGTTCTTCAACCGACTCAAATCTTGAACCGGTTTTTCTGTGCACCTCTACCTTCAGGTTATGACACCTTATTCCAGATAATAAATAGTGCGGTAATGGGCCTTTAAAAAACGCATTTCCTGGGTTATATCAATTGGAGAAAAAGAAGAAGTGCAAGGTGAATGATAGAATCCAAATCGATGGTATGGAATGGGACCGGAAGACAAGGCTCTCTATGGATCACATTAGGGACTTGAATATGTTAGTCTCTAGACTTTGTACATTCCAACTCACAACAAGGACAGATCCGTGGAGGTGCACCCTATCGAATGATAACAAATACCATGTTGATAAGTTGAGAAGATTAATTGATAGCCCCCAAGCAATTACAGATAGCGTGTTGATTGATTAGACACATGATGTTCCGATTAAAGTGAACTGCTTTATTTGGCGATCAAATATGGATAGAATCCCTACTAGTTGTGCGCTGCAAAAAAAAGAGGAATCTTAATAGAATCACCCAAGTGTGAGCATTGCGAAAAAGAAGATGAAAATGCAACACATGCTTTAATTAAATGCTCCTTTGCAAACTCTGTATGGCAGTAGGTATATTTCACTGGTGTGATGTTTCTATTTTCACGTTTGATTGCATTGGAGAAATGCTTACTTTTGTAAAAAAAATTACGGGAATTGCATAAAAAAATAATCTTCTAGCCATCTAGGGATGTCAACGAGGTCAAACGAGAGCGGAAATAGCTGTCACCGCTCCCGCTCCCGAAATCAGTTAGTGCCCCCGCTCCCGGTCCCGCCCCCGTTCCCTCCGGTTTATAGGCTTAAATTTGATTTTTTTGCTAAACAACTACTTTGGTTTAGGCTAAAAATATTATTTTTAACAACTTTAAAAGCTTAAAACCTAATCTTTTAGAAACTAAAAAATTAAAAATCCGACATTATGAACCCAACATTACAAAATGATAATTCTAACAATCTTATAAATATAAAATACGACAAATCCAATATTACAAATATAAAATACTAACATGTCCAAAATTATATGATCAATTCACTACATCTTCAATATCCATTAATTGGAAACGGGAAAGTAAAATATAACCTAAACCTAAAATTAGAAAATCTATTTTGTATATATATTTTATATTATATATATATATTTTTACATAAATGTACAAGCGGGACTCCCACGGGAGTACGAGACAGAAATAACAACTCCCACCCCCAGTCCCGAAAATAAGCGGGGTTTAATTTTGCCCCGGCTCCCGTTTTTTTTTATTTTAAATTTAGTTCCGTACGGGTTCGGGTTCCCACGGGAGCGGAGTCTCACGGGTTTTTGACATCCCTATAGCCATCTGCTATGGTGTGGTGAGGTTAATATGGAGGGAAAGATGTGATAGAATTTTCAAGAAGCACAGAAGCTCCATAACAATGATTGGAGATAATATTAAATCAATAGTGTTCATTTGGTTCAATTACTGAAAAATAAAATGTCATTATCAATAAGTACAATGGTGTATTAACCCTTTTGTTTGTATGTAAAAAACTGATGTACGTTTCTCTTAGCCCCTTCTAGCATCTTGCTATTTGGTGACCTTTTTTAAGAAAATTTATGGGTTCAATTTATTATTATTATTATTAACTATGCTACAATTCAAGGCCACAACTTCTTTTCGCTTGAGAACTTGAATGAAGCTTTTAAAACACCCAACTTAAGCAACTAAGCTAACGAAAGCACAACTTACTTACACCTGATCATAAATTCATAATGTTAACCAATATCTCGTAAGTAGAGTAACTCACATGAAAATCTTGTAGTTGTGTATTTCTTACTTTCCATATTCAAAACATTCATTTTGTTATGTCTTTTTGGTCCTCAATAAGCATATAGAATATTAGTCCCCCCTCAACGAAAATCCACCATATGATAACAAATATTTTCCTTCATCGTGAATTTATTGGATTTTTTTGAAAGATAGTATATAAATTTTTTGTAATAAAATAATAAAAAAGTGAAGGATTGTGAAATGAAAGAATGAAAGTAATAATGAAAAGCAAAAAAGAAATTGGTTTAGGGGAAAAAGAACGAACGGTGCAGATAAAACAAAAGCATAAGAGCTCCAATAAAAGATCTTCCAAAGCTCTCGAATCTCAAACAATCCAAATCCAATCACAAATTCAAAACAATCTCTCTTCTCCAGCGTCCGATCTCTGCATAAAATCAACCCAATCAGATCTCTCGCCTTCTTCGCGCGCCAAATACAAATCTCCTACCTCCCTCCAATTTTGTCTCTCTTCAGGTATGTCGAAATCCCCAATTTCACAACCCATTTGTTGCGCAACAAATCCTTACACTGTCGGTGTATTTATGTTGTTTTCTTCTTTAATTGACGTTTTTTGTGCCCTTTCGTTGTTTCTGGTGACGATTGCTGACATGTTTAGGGTTTTCATCGGCTGTCATGGCGGATGGTCCGGGGAGTCCCGCCGGTGGGAGTCACGAAAGCGGCGGTGAACAGAGTCCTCAGTCGAACTCGAACATCAGGGAGCAGGACAGGTTCCTCCCGATCGCTAACATAAGCCGGATTATGAAAAAGGCATTGCCTGCTAACGGGAAGATAGCTAAAGACGCTAAAGACACTGTTCAGGAATGCGTTTCTGAGTTCATCAGTTTCGTTACTAGCGAGTACGTACATCCAGTTATCCATTACATTTCACACAAACTGTAACACACTCATATTTCGAATGCATATACTTATTCACTCAGTCATAGCACTGCATAAAATTGAGCAAGTGTTCTAGCAACTGTAGTGAAGCTTCATTAATTATTTAGCCAGTAACTTCTCGAGATAATTGATCTTTTTTCTACGTTCCAATTCCCTGAGTAGGGCCAGTGATAAGTGTCAAAAAGAGAAGAGGAAGACGATTAATGGTGATGATTTACTCTGGGCAATGGCTACACTAGGTTTTGAAGATTACATTGATCCCCTCAAGGCTTATCTGTCTAGATACAGAGAGGTAAAACATTCTATAATTGTCATGTAGTTAAAGATTACCTTCATGTTCTTACAATCATTCCAATCGAAGTTGAACGCTCATATAATTTCAGCTCGCCTTTCGTCCTTAAAATTGTACTAAGAACAAGAACGAGGCTATGTTAGATCTTTCTCATTACAATATAGTGTTTACACTTTACATTGCTCATTTAGGGTGTATTATTGTCAAACACATTGTTAAATTCATACGACATCGTATTTATTTACATCAACAACCGAGCCGTTACACTTTAAATATTGTCCCCGATAATCTTTCCAAAAGAGTTAATTGTCATAAATTATGTGATTTGAGGCATCTAAAATCAAAATTTCAATGAATATATTCAATCATTAAAAACTTCGATCGAGAAGATGTTGTTCATATTCTTAGTTGATTTTCTGACATGATTTTTTCTCTTTTCTCTTGGATGCTTACGTGGAATACTTATCTATATGCAGTTAGAGGTACGTGAACAAACTCATATTAAATCCGAGTATGATTTATGGAGATATTTTCTAAACAGTAAAATAGCTGATGATAGTTGTTTATATATTTTCTACTTTAGGGTGATACAAAGGGTTCTGCAAGGGGTGATGGATCAAGCAAGAAAGATACAGTTGGGACTCAGCTTGTTCCAAATTCACAGGTAATCTACTTTCACTTCTTATGCCATGTCTGACATGACATGACAAAACAGGCTGTACTGTGTTTGACACATGTATTGAGCTGACCAGTGTTAATTGGTGTATAAATTTTGCAGTACTCTCATCAAGGATCCTTTTCTCAAGGAATGAATTTTTTGAATTCACATGTTTGAACTTTCAAGTAATATCTCTTTTCCTTACACTTTTTATAATATTGGTTAAGTGATAAATAGAAGCGTTGTAAATTGTAATCATGTTATGCTTTTATATTTGGCAGGTTCACTTGTGTATTTGGAACAAATGTGGGACTTTGAAGATTCTTGTTTACTGATTCAATAGTTTGCTAGTAAGTGGTCAGTAAACAGAGATTATTATTATATAGGCTTTTATATTAGTCTTATATATATATTTTAAAAAATGTATTGTTCATCCCCTGTTGTTTTTATTGGGATGAGATTTAGTGCTATTATGTTGAAGTTTGTAAGCTGTGTATGTTGATTGATGTATTAACTGTTTATTGATGTTGAATTATGTATGCTTTTCTTTTTTTAAACATGTAAATGATTGTTTTCCTAGAAACAACTCACTTAGAAGTCTTATAAATATTAAAAGTAGTTGGGTCATTTTGTATTTATACTTCAATATAATATTTTTCAACATTTTTGTTACATGTCTTAGAAAATTACAAAATGCATATTGAATGTATGAGATACGGAATGTTTTATTTCCTATATATAGACATTTTCTCACAAAATATAAAGACATTTTCTTTTAGATTTTTGGGATTTTCTAATACGTGCCATAAGGGTACATATAAGAAGTATTAATTATGAAAAATATTATCATAATTAAATTCAAAATACATTTATTATGAAGATTATTAATATATATCACATTTAATTAAGGTAATATTTTTTATAATTAATACATTTTATATTTAATTATAGTAATATTTGTTATTAATTAATACTTCTTACATGTACCTTTATGATACATATTAGAAAATCCCTAGATTTTTAAGGTATTAAAGAGAAATTTGGGAATATTATTAATAATATTGACAGGTTATAAATGAGAAGGACAATATGGCGAGTTAAATCAGTGACATTCCCCTGGGAACGGTGTCATGCTTTGTAATGGTCACGAGAGGTGCACGTGAGAGACAAGAAATGGCACGTTAAGTGCACGTGCGTGGTGATCATGGACACAACTCATTTGATTTCATAACCAAAAAGTAGTCTATCACCAATTTTGTTTGATGCCAGCAACTCTCATCTCATGCGGCTGTCACAACCCACATTTATTTGCCTTTAATTATTTATTTATTATCATTGATATTGTATTTTAAATACATTAACATCTTTATTATTGGGAACTTAAATTGATATAAATGGTTTCCACTAGATTACACCAAAGCTAATTCCTCTTATTACCAACGTTTTGTTATAACTAAAAATAAAATTTCACTATTTTTATACTGTAAATTAAAATAGGCTAAGTCGATTGAGTTTGTCCTTTGTCCGTTGATATGTTCATGTCCCTCTTATTCAATGCATTAAACCCAATGAATGTGGAATGTCATGTTAGGTTATTATTTCAATACAAAGAACTTTTTTAAAATTAAAATAAATATTCAAATGAACTTTTGTAATTTAATATATTATAGTAAAAAGCTATATAAAAATAAAATAATACTGTTGTAAATCATTAAACTTTATAAAATTTGGTTACATCAAACTATTTCATGAAATAGTTGGCCAAAATTTTTAAGATCAACGGTTTGACATGTCCGAAAATAAAATAAGCAAGAAATAAGAATTAACTAGCTCTAAAATAAATAAGCCAAAAGTTTCGAATATTTCTTTTCCTTCTAGGCTAAAAAAGTAAATTGAAAAGCTTAAACTATAAAAAATAAAGACCATGCTTGAAGAAGTTGTACCATATGTTAATAAAAAAAATTCCTCTTACTCCAACATAATAACTATATAAAAAAATATATAAAGTGTAATATACGACGTGACGATCATTTCATTCTCCCTTGCCTTATCTTTCATAATTATTTTTATTATCATATTTTAAATCACTATTAATTGTAGTCTACGACTTTGAACCGAGTTTTAGTCCACTGTCATATCTTTGCTTAAATCACATAAAACTCTATTTTATATATAAAAAGTAGTTATGACAACCAATAAGAGATCGATATTAACACCAAGGAATTTTCAAATCATGTATCCCACTTTATAGTAAAAATATCTAAATTATATTATCAACTTTTAAATTGTGCATGAGCTTTTATTAAAGACTTCAATGTATTTTATTTTATTTTCTTTACTTTTCTTGGAAACAAAACTTTACTTTTGAATACCCACATGTAAATTAGTAAATAGAAAAAAAAATGATATAATGAAATATGCATAATTCAAGCCAGGTTCGTGTAGGTCACGAATAGTTTCTTTAGATTACTAAGAAAAATCTTGAATTTAAATATTATTCTACATTAGTCAATAATGCACTAAATGCACATATCAAAAAATTAACGAGAAGCTGCAACTTTCATAATCTCATATATATATATATATATATATATATATATATATATATATATATATATATATATATATATATATATATATATATATATATATATATATATATATATATATATATATATATATATATATATATATATATATATATATATATTTAAATTCTTTCTTTCTAAGTTCATTTCATTTTATCATTACCACTTTTTTCAATGGTTCATAAATTAGTATTTTTTTAATTATTATTGTTATTATTTTAATAAAGAGTTCAATAGATTTATAAAGATATTGGTTTGGGGAAGTTTTTAGTTTGCCAACGAAGAGGCACAAGACCTCCAGCTAAGACATATAAAAATCAACAAAGACCCCTTCCTTCCTTCCTTCTCAATTAGTCTTTGTGTCATGAGTTGTCCCAAAATGCCGCTTTATCATTCATCTTCACTAAATACATACATATATACACATAAATGCTTTATTTAATTAAAAAAATATATTAAAATGTAAGTAATAATGGATTAAGAAAACAATGTCAACTTAGGCAAATCTGATTCCGTTATATGGACATAAGATGATAGCAAGTTGATGAATAGCCGTTCAATAATAACAATAATTTATTTTAAAAACCATGAATTAAAAACTTAATCTAGATAATTCTATATGGTTCATAAAATGTATAAAAAGTATATATATCATGTATTTACACCTGGTTACCCCATCATTATGATAGGGTTGATAATGATTTGTTTTTCAAGATCTATAAATATTTAAGCGTCATGTTGTAATATAAAATTCCACGCGTTACATTATATGGATGTATCTATATTAATTTTTTTTCCCATTCATATTTATACATTAGTTTTTTTATAGAACTATCTATCCAATAAAAATCTAGTGTTTTCTATAAAATAATATACATAAATATGAAAGGTAATGTGTTTTACAAATTACAGGTCATGTTTAAAATGATGTTAAAAGATTAAAAAGTGAGTCTGTAAAAATGCGATTTCCAAAAAGATAAAAATAATAAGTTAAGGGTTTAGTTGTTTAACCAGTAGTGCATGTAAATAATGGTCAATGGTCATGGTCAAAGTCAAACTGATCCTCTTCCTTCACCTCCATCTTTTGATTTTGTTGTTTACCAAAAGTGCCCCCATCCCCGGTGAGTTATACAGCTGGCCACGTTTGCAGTGTTTGGGGGTGTTATTGTACTTTGGGTACATGGTCTTGTGACACTCACGTGGCTTATGTTCCTTCGTTTCAGTCGCACACTCCATTCATTCGATTGCCCCATTGTATGTACTTGTGACCCTCATGTCACTCTCTTATATACCCTAATTTTTTTTCTTCATATATAATGTATATAGAAAATCACTCAAATGTATTCTCTAATATTGTTTTATTTGGAAAGTTAATTATTATTTATTATTGTAATAATATATATTTTCTGTAACTATGTTTAACGTGTAATAGAGGAAAACATGTAACAAGTATTTAACAAAACTGGACAATAATATTTTACATCAATTCAACCTATATATATGACTTATTTATCAGCTTTGTGCAATTATATGATATGATCGTCAATTATACGATATACGATTTGAGAGAAATTTATACTATTTCATCGTATATTTGAAGGATACAAAGGGGTAATTTATATATGATACTAATGATAGTTTCATTTTTGGAAGCTTCAAGGAAGAACTCAAATCTACTTCCCGCATAAATAGAATTTGTTTCTTTAAGATAAAGGGTAATATTTGATTTCACGTTATTTCTATAAAAAATCAAAATCGGAACTTGAATATTAGAGAATATTTGTGTAACGATCCAAAATTTAAGACCAATTTTTTTTTTTTTTAATAAATCATTACTTAAAGTAAAATCATCATTCCAAAACATATTATGAGTATAAGTTTTCAAAACACATGTTCATTATCAGAGTAAACATTCACAGACTGTCTAATCTATGGTGTGTGTCATGCGATCACCCCGAGCTCTTCCCTCCGCTACCGGAAGTACCTGAAACCAAAACTGAAAACCGTAAGCACGAAGTTTAGTGAGTTCCCCACGCTACCACATACCATGCATAACCACATATGCACATACTGGGCCTCGCCCACTACCTCGGGCCTCGCCCGCTACAACGGCCCCGTCTGGCTTCGAGCCCCGCTCGGATACAAATCTGTTTTACTTAGGCCCCGCCTGTCACACGGCCTCGCCCGCTAACAAATAATAACACATAAACATTTCATAACTAACACATACAACTGGTTCTGTCCTAAGGCCTCGCCTATCCTGGGCCTCGCCCATGTCCTGCTACTGATGAGTCATGGGACCCCATCCACGCTCCTAATGGTAGTGAGGTACGGGCCTAGCCCACTCTCACTCCTGTTCTAGTTCGGGCCTCGCCCCTATTTTACTACTAATGAGATATGGAACCTCATCCACACTCTGCTACTGGTGAGATAAGGGACCTCGCCCACACTCACCTCCCTACTAGGCATATACATGTATCACACAGACAACAAGTATAAACTATCATATAAACAATTCCTTGGACACCCGCCCGCTATTACTGGACCTCGTCCTGAAAATAATACTAGCATATTGTGCCTAGGACTAACCCCGGGTCTTCTATTCATAACTACATGGGCCGACATTGTGGCCTTAGACCCATTCACACAAAGGGAAACTCACCTGCACTGGCTGAACTTGCTGATGATCTCAGTTGTTGCTGCCTGACAACTCACGGAACTTCTGCTCCCCTTGCTCCCCGAACTACCAATATCAATGCAACACTGAGTCTAACTGACCCCCGAAAGACAACCAAGTCCACCCTGGTCCAAAGTCAAAGTCCTGGTCAAAGTCAACCTTCCAGGTCAACCCTACTCGCCGAGTCACCCTACTGACTCGCCGAGTTCAAAATGATCAGATACCTTCCATTCGCGACTCGACTCGCCGAGTCAGTCCATGACTCGCCGAGTCTACCGATTTCTGAGTCCAGACCTGTCCAACTCACTGAGTCTCCACCCGACTCACTAATTCGAGTCACAACTCGAAGGGTTTGGGGGGT